ACTAATGAGGCCGGCGGGCGAATTTTTAATTTCGTCCTGGCTAAAATGAGCCGGGGAGGGGTGAGGTACTTTAAAAACTTGCCACAGATAAAAGGCGACAGCAGCAACAGCTCGGCAAAGTTCTTTCGGCAATTAACTTGCCGCACATTAAATGATAAAAAAAAAAATCGAAGAAAAAAATAAAGTGAGAAGTAAGATTCTGGAGTGGGAAAGCAACCGCGACACAGAAGGACAATGAAGTTTGGGGAACAAAGACAAAGCAAAGGCCACAGGAGGGAGTTCAGAGGTTGCAGCTGCAATTTGGGTCAAGCCAAAAAGATAATGCGGTTTGCGGCTTCTCTTTTTTACTGTCACATAAACTTTTGTTAGGATCTTCTAGTTTGCAAGAGCTCCAAGTTCTAATCCTTATTCCCAAGAAGAATTCGGTAGTGAAATGTTTAAATGGTTTAAGCATTTCTTAGTAGGTTTCCCGGCAAGGAGCAAGGATTCTTTGAATCTCTTTACATGTTAAATGTTAAAATAGTGTCGATTTCCATACAGGTTTTATAAAACAAAAGTTATAACAAGACTTTTCTCGTCTTCAGGGGTCAAATGAACACCGATCTCAGGGTTTTTTACAGAAATTTTCTTGTTTACACTGATTCTTTTAACTTGTAATATTTCAAAACTTTAATTTCTTTAAAACACTGCATTAGCTTTGATTAACATTGAAAGGGATGAAAATTAAAAAATAAAAAAACTTTTTTTTTTATTTTGAATCGGTAGAGTAAGTTCATCTGGATTTAGGTTTTGATCCAATTAGATATCATTGATTCAAATTAATTTAGTTTGGTTTAAGTGATTAGAGCGAGAGGCTTAAGAACTAATGAATTTACCGCACAGATTTTAAAATATGTTTTTATTCTTTGGATTAAACATCTTTGTACTTTTTAAGACCCTTGATCTTGAAAATCTCATAACTTCCAATTGGATTTCATTGAACAGACAAATAAAGTCCAATTCTGGGCTGAACGGTAAATAAAACCGGGCTTGCTGCACCGATTTTAGAATGCACTGTTGCGTCGTCGGATTACAGATACTATGCGCATTTTTGTGGCAACTTTGGCAAACTTCAAGTCCGCCCACGCCACTTTTTTAGGACTGGTTTGGCTTTATAAACAGCAACAACCGACCAGCATAACGAGATTTCTATGATGTCTGGGGTTTGGTCAACCTAACAGACATGTTACACATATCCATCGATTCAAAAAGATTTATTTAATATGAAGCGGAGTTAATTAATGGCAAAAACTTACAACAGAATCGATTTTTTTATTCACACAAACACTCACATCACTCACACATACAGACCGATTAGTAGTAGTGTGCGTAAAAAACAAGTGGGGAAAAACGCCGACAAAAACGGTGGTAAAACAAAGGGCGATTTTAAAAACAGTCACTTTTTAATACGTCGGTAGCCGAAACTATCTTGTCACACATTTAATTATATCCCAGCATATTAAAAACAATGATTTTTTGAGTAATTTCGCGCAGCCAAATGAATTTTTTGTTGTTCTATCGTGTTGTTCGCGAGCGAACTGATTCCGAAAACCGTAAAACCAGGGATGCGGCGAAAAAGAAACAGCTGTGAAAACCAGGGCTGTACAGACACTTTGAATTTATTTAAACTAAATATTTTATTAAAACAATTTTCTTTTAAAAATTACTTACACTTTTGATTATTTTATTATTAAATTTGTTCAGTTTTTTTTTTATGTCAGCTGCTACGCCTGCTCTTTTGATTTATTCTCTTTACTTATTTCAATTAATATTGAATTTAACGACTTTTTTCGGTTTTAAAGCCAACAGTTTTTAACGCACAAGATTAACGTTTTAAAGCACAGTGGGTTTATTTGAAATTCATCGGGCGCTTTTGGCCACTTTATTCACTTTGTTTTTATTGGGGGATAAATCGATTTTTTTGATTTTTCGGCTCACACATCTGAAGTAAAGTGTTCCTCACACTTTCTTTTCACTTTGTTTATAGCCCAATTTTTCCATTTTTAGATTGGGGAATATCCTATGGTAATTCACACATCTTCAACGATTTAATTCACTCGATTTGGGCGAAATGTTTTAAGAAATATTAATGAAGAGCAAGACACGAGGTAGGCGCACGCTGTCAACTGAACTAAATTCCCTTATACCAGGATAAATGGGGGTGACTTGTCTGTGCCAAAGATTCTGACTCCAAGCCCCAAGGCACATGCGCCAATCGCCGGGTCCATTTAAAACCGTTTTCCGCGCTCAGTCAATTTACTTCTCGAATACATGGCTAGTTTAAATATTTTTAATTTTATAAAAATTAAAATACCTTTACTACAAATCGTTTTTTTTTTTGTTTTTGAGGAAATTCTCTAGCAATAATATAAAAAAAATTTTATCATTTATATTTACAAGATATTATGTAGTAACATTCCTAAAAATAATAATGATGTCTTGGAGATTTTAATTTAATTTTAAAAAAATATACATTTCTTTTCACATTTTGTTGAGTTGGAAGCTATATAAATAATCACAACAAGCTACAGTTTTCAAGTCACTTTGTATTTGTTCCAAAACAAAAAATTCAACTATTTTTTATACATTGTTTTTTTAAATAACATTTTAAAGTTTCAAAATAAGAATTTGTGCTACTCAAAGCAAGTAAACAGATTTTGAATTTGATTGAAACTAATAGTTAAGAATCACTCTAGCCCAAAGGCTAGAGTCCTCAGCGATAGTCAATCATAATGTGGTTGTATATATTGTCTATCGTGGGTATGGCCGAGGCTGAAGGATTGGGCGCTGGTTCTGGCTGGGGATCTTGCGGGGGAGTGGGATTCGAAGCAGGCGGGAGACTGGCAGTATCCTTGATGGATTGCTTGGGTTTCTTTCCGAAGGCGAAACAACCGCTTTGTTTGGTGGCCACCGGCGAAAGGTTGTCCTTGTTTTTGGTGCTAAAAATAGTACAGATATAACTAGGAAAACGTTATGCTTTTCAGAGTTTACTTACAACGCCTTGAGCGCCTCCAGCTTGGGTATATTTCGGTTATGGGACTTGCCACCGCCCGCCGCCTCCTGGGCGGCCAGCTCCTCGGGATGTGACTTCTTTTTGTGCGTGCGACAGTTGGAGCCATTGGCAAAGGTGCGATCACAAAAGTCGCAGGAGTACGGCTTTAAGCCAGTGTGCAGGATGAGGTGGTTCTTGAGGGCCTTGGCCCGCTTGAACTCCCGGCCACAGTAGTCGCATTTGTGCTGCATTTGATCCGTGTGCACCAGCCGATGGCGATTCAGAGTGGTCCGCGAATTCAGCTGCATGCCGCACTCCGGGCAGATGTACTTGTGCGGATCGTGTGTGTCCTTGTGACGTTTCAATCGATTGGCCGACTTGAAGCACTTCTTGCACACCTCACAATCGAAGGGCGCGTAGTCTGTGTGCTTCAGGACATGCTCCTTGAGCGCGCTCATCGAATGGACACCCACGCCGCACTGTTCGCAAATCACCGGCCTCGGTCGCTCATCCAGGTGCATATACTGTTCGTGCTGCTGGGCGGACGCACTGGTGGCGAACTTCTTGTCGCAACTATTGCAGGCATATTGCTTACGCTTGGGCAGGGGCACGTGCCAGTTCCTGTGCCGCTCCAGCTGATAGTGGAGTCGGAACTTTTTGGGGCAATCTGGACATTGAAACTGATCCGATGACTGCTCAATCTTGCCATGATCCTGCCGTAGGTGACGTTGCAGGGTCCTGGCGGTGGCATAGTTACGCAAACACTCGCTGCACTGGTGTCTTTTGTCGGGGTCTGATGTCACCTTCCCAGCTTTTTCTTGCCTTGGCGAGGAGTCACTCAAGCTGCCACTGGAGGAGGAGTTGTCGTCCTGGATGTCATAAGCATCGCAAAGCTTCAGTAGCACGGCGTCTTCGTCGGCTTCGTAGTCTGGATCCTGGTCATCCGGCTCTTCCTGCTCTTCCTGCTCTGGTTCCTCGTCCGTCTGATCCTGCTTCAGCTTTCCCTCCGGCGTTAATGGGTTCTCCAACTCCTCTGGCAGGAAGTCCACCTCCACGTCCAGTTTTGGCTTCCTATCCACATAGTGGACCTCTGTCAAAGTCTCCTCGTCCAGCAAACCAAATTTTGAGCGCAGCTCGTGTAGATCTAGGTCCTCCTGACTGGACGTGCTTTGTAGGATGCAGTAGAGCTTCTGCACCCGGGTTATTCGCTCCGAGAAATTCACCAGCGAGGTGACCAGCGACAGGCACTCAGTGCAAATCATCTCCGGCAGTTCCTCACCCCGTGTTATCTGGTTTGGGAAAAATAGGAAGCACTGGTTAACCGGATTTTTCAAAAGGGTTCCAGGGCCCACTCACATTCACCCAGAAGTACTTGCCAATGGCGGTGGCCAGTTCCAAGGAGAATGCCTCGCCGGAGTCTTCGTTTTTGAGGAACACATTTTTATTGCCCTCCAGGTCGTCCTTGGCACACAGGCGACACCACATATGCCACATACGATTACGGCTGGGATCGGGATCCGCGGGTGGAGCGTGCTCCAACTGGGCGGTGTCCATCGCAGAGCTTAGCAATTGGTTATAAATAAATGGTCGTGCAGCGTAAACATATTGGACATGGCTGAATCCGAACTGGAACTTGTAACTAAATGGATTGGTTCCACTCCGACCCGGAACCTTATGTGATTGTGTTGCCAGATCTCCCAGAAAGGGAAACAGCTCAAGACCGTTTTATATTTATTTAATATTTTTGTTTTTTTTTTCTGATTTCTATTTTAAAAATTAGTTTTTACCAAAAAACATTCAAAACTACACATAGTTATTTTTTAATTTAAATTATGGTATATGCATTTAATTTAAAAAACAAATATATGGAATAATTTGTTCGGTCTGTTAAAATCCGATTCAGGAATGCCCCTATTAAGCTCTAACTCGATTTGGACAATCTGGCAACTTTGATCCGGGTGCAAAACAGCTGACTAAGCTTAGAATGTTTATTTCCAGTTGTGAAATTAACGGGATTGCGATTGTTACTTTTTGAAATATGCTGGAGGCGCGTTTAAGTCAGACTTTGCTGCTGAAGAAGATCATCGATGCTCTGAAAGAGATAATTGCCCAGGGAACGCTGGATTGCAGCGATTCTGGATTGCAGGTGAAGTGATGTGTTTTCTCCTCCGCCTAAAGTATAATCCAAGCTTTTAGAAATGCCAATTTTTGATACCAGCTCCAGTCTATGGACAATTCGCATGTGTCACTGGTCGCTCTGAGCCTGCAATCGGATTGCTTTGAGAAGTTCCGCTGTGATCGCAACGTCTCCTTGGGACTGGACCTTAAATCCCTGGCCAAGGTGCTCAAGTGCGCCAATAGCGACGATACTGTCACAATTAAGGCCATCGACAAACCGGACAAGATCTTGCTGAGTTTCGAATCGGATGGCAAGGGGCGCTCTGCGGACTACGAACTAAAACTGCTGAATCTGGACCAGGATCACCTGGGAATTCCAGATACGGACTACTCCTGCATCGTTCAACTGCCATCGACGGAGCTTGCCCGCATCTGCCGGGACATGAGCATGTTCAGTGAATCCCTCACGATTGCCTGCACCAAACAGGGCATTAAGTTCTCGGCCAACGGAGATTTGGGCTCGGCCAATATCCAACTGACTGAGGGCAGCAAAATGGATGTTAGCATCGAGGTGAAGGAACCACTAACCCAGACCTTTGCCGGACGGTACCTGAACACCTTCACTAAGGCCACTCCCCTGTCGGATCGCGTTAAGATTTGCCTGGCCGCCGAGGTGCCGCTCCTGGTCGAATATCCCATCGAGGACTTTGGCTATATACGATACTATCTAGCTCCCAAGGTGGATGATGCTGACTCGTAACTGACTTAAAGATAAATCCTTTTTTACTCAAACTATTTTTAACGCAATTTCTAAACAAACCAAAGAGTCAAATACCTCCTAATACGTAACATTTATTGTATAAATTATATAAATAACCACGTAATTGCTTGGATTTTGGTTTTTTTTATTATAAGGTCAAGATAAACATCATACTAAATATTAAAAAATACGAAAATAAAAAAAATCGGTTTCACTTTCCCCTAACCCATAGAATTTACATGTATAGTTATTTTATAAATAAATCAAATTTTTATGAGAAGTGCATTAAACTAATATTATATCTAAGCCATACTAAAACAATTTTAAACAAGTAAACAAAAAAGTTCAGCTGCCATCGTTCCCTATTATATTTCTATAGATCACCAATTAAAACCATTTAAAACAAAGACAAATCTTAAAAATATTTTAAGGCTACAAGTTTCAGTTTAAAATTAAGATATTACATTTATAAACTTTTTGTTATTGTTAAAAATAAAAAATAAATTAATAAAGTAAAATATTTTAAAGCAAATTTGATTTTAACCAGCGTTGCCACTTTGTAATATTCAGTGCTATTAGCTGGATGGATGGTCATCCTAAACTAAAACCGTGCAGCTGCAAGTAGAGCTGACAACCCTGCCCGGGCGCAAATGCGGAGCTAAACAAAAACCGAAAAACGCATAAATCGGCTAGAAAACCCAGGGGATTGCGAGTAAACCATGGACACGGAGGAAGGGAAGCGTGGTCGTGGACGTGGGCGTGGCACCAGAGCCCGCGGGAGAGGTCGAGGACGGGGACGCGGTCGTGGCAAGAAAATCGACGACACCAGTATCGCCGATTCAGCCCTGCTTGTGAGCAGTGGTGCCACCCTGGAGGACAGTCCCGTCCGGCTGGAGCAATCCGAGGATTCGGTGATGCAGGATCTGGACAAGGAGGCCGAAGTGGAGGCGGTACCCCCACTGGAAGAGCCGCCACAAGGAGCACAGGGTACGATCGCCAACACCGAGGAGATGACGCCACCAACGCCACAGCCACAGGTCCTGCAGCAGGTGCCACCGCCTGTCCTCAGCCAAACAAGTGAGCATCATTTGGTTTTTCCAATCGAATTGAATGGCCAAAGATCCGAAGACTAACTCTGATCAGTGCTCTCTAATTACTCCTTCGGATAGTTAACAAGAAGGAGCATTGAAATCCATCTATGCCTCCTTCACTTTCATTTTAAAATCATTTTTTTTTGGCGTATATATAAGTATGTAGGTTTGCAGAAAAAGATTTGGTAGAAAATTAGCATTGTCACATAAAGATATTGTTTCGATTTAACAAAGATTTTATAAGTACATATGTACATTGTTTTATGAGATTTTGTTATAACTAACGAGAGTGTTACAACGTATATCTTTGCCATAATCAATTCCTCATGTTGCATCCCAAGGAATTTGAAACTTATCTCTCGCTTTTGCAGTTGACATGGAGGCGGACATATCACAGCTGGAGGCGCCCACCTTCACCACATTGTCACGCGGTCCTCCGGAGCCAATGCTGCGCCTGAAGTGGAGCCACAAGGTGAGCCTGATCGGCGAAAAGGTGCTCAATCCAATGATCCACTGCTGCGATCAGTGCGACAAGCCGATCCTTGTCTACGGCCGAATGATACCCTGCAAGCATGTCTTCTGCCTCAAGTGCGCCCGCTCGGAGCCCATCAAAAGCTGTCCTCGGTGCACGGACAAGGTGCTCCGCGTGGAGCAGAGCGGCTTGGGCACCGTGTTCATGTGCACCCACGGCGGCAGTCGGTACGGAAGCTCGGGCTGCCGGCGTACCTACCTTTCGCAGAGGGACCTGCAGGCGCACATCAATCACAGACATGTGCAGCCACTGCCACAGCTGGCGTCCATGGCGGAGCAGCCCAAGATGTCGGATCTGGGCGGCGTCGCTCTGGGCCTGGAGTTGCACAAGCAGCGCAAGGCGAGTGGTAGCTATGGCTCCTAAACTAAGCTGTCCTGTCTATAAAAACCCGCTTGCCCCTTGCAGCTCTCCGAGTCGTCTGTCCCCGTATCCGTCATCTCCTCCTCTGCCTCTGCCTCTGCCTCCGTCTCCGTCTCTGCCTCCATTGCCCGTCCCCTGTCCCGACCATTGGCAGCGGTCGGAGGTGGCATCGGTAGCATACCGCCACCAGGATCCGCCGGATCCGTCCAAAACGCCATCCATGGCCACTCCACGCTCACGCAGGCCAATTTGGCCAGGATCAACAATGCCAACGCGCAGGACTGCCACCAGGGCAAGGCCTCGCTGCACCACAGCCTCAAGAAGGGTCCGCCCCATCAGTCCGAGTCGGTGGCCGATGCCTCCTACTACAGCAGTGTGCTCGCCTCCTTCGGCAGTGCGGCTGGAGGATCGGGGTCTCCGGTTGTGGCGACCACCGGACCGCCGGCTGGTCCAAATTCCACCGGCATTGGACCAGGCTCCCAGGTCGGTTCCGGCTCCGTCGAGACCTCAGTGGGTGGCTCGAGTGGCAACTGGCAGCAATCGCAATACTACAGATAAGGGGCGGACCAGGGGGCAATCCGAAAATGCACACGCAAGTCTACAAGGGCAGCTGATTTTTACGCAGGCACGGCTTTTAATTAAGTGAACTAGATGTATGTTAAGAAGGAAATTATTAAAATACTTTACGGGGTTAGACAAACCCGAGAAATGTAAACATCAGCTTTTACTTTATCTTAATTCCTTGACAGGATATATTAATAAAGAATTGACAAGTGATTTGAATAATTAAATAATTAGGGGTATCAAAAGTGTTTATCACGTTTCTTTTTAAAACCAGCGAAAGAGGGTCTACTTTTTAGACGAAAGCTAAATCTAAAATATAATGCAATACGAAACCAGTTTACTTTAAGTTGTTTTTTTAGGGAAATGTGAATGCTATAGCGTTTTTTTAATTTAAAAAGAACTTAATTGGTGAAATCTGTGTCACTTTTTAAAAAGCCCGCTCGATTAACTTACAATCGATGTGCCTCCGATACCGATAAGCGATAAACAGCTGGCTGTTCTTTCCAGTGAAATACAAAAGGTAAACAAATCTGAAGCCGAACGTAGTTGTTGAACGAAACATTTGCATAAATACAATACAATATAAATACGGCACAGGTCGAAGGCCAGGGAAAACGCAATATCTGATGAGCTCTACGAAGAACCCACAATATCGAGGGCAGAAGCAGAGGCAGCAGTCTTCCAAAATAACGAGCGAACAAAAAAAGTGAAAGTTGGCCATACGAAACATGATGAAAATCGTGCTGATTAGTGGAAAGCGAAAGTGCGGCAAGGATTACATATCCGAGAGGTTGCAGAAAAGGTAAATTGGCAGAATACTCCAATCGTAATACCCACGTTATCTCAAAGCTCCCAAAGAAAACACCCTTTTATCGAGTTAGTTGGTGTCAAAATGTCAATACAATTGCTTTTAAAATATAAGTTGTAACTAAACGTATTTTACAAGCATTGTTCTTTATTTAAGTAAAAGTATTTCCATATTGATCAGTTGTACAACACTTAAACTTTTTGGAATAAAAAAAGGCAAAAGGCAAAGCCCTTTTTATTATTATTATTGTTTATTTCGTAATGTATAGCAAGAAAGTATCAAACGATCATTTGATGTAAAGCTCATAGTCTCTATCCTAAATTAAAAATATATAAATTCAACAAAGAGGAAACAGAAGTTTTTTTTTTCTAATCTAAGAGGCTACATCACTTCATAGTCGTATTTGAAAAATACACTTTGAAATAATTTGCTAGCTAATCATTTGTATAAATGTAGGGTAGAATTGCTCAGTTTCATAAAAAGCTAAATATACATAAATAAAAATAAATAAAATTGTTTTTTAAGTTTAAAAATAGCTTTTATTTTGAAAAATGTTTAAAATTGAATAATGAAGGAATTTTTAAAAAATTAATCATTCTTTCCACTTGGAGATACCTTTTCTAGATAGTTAGGTTTGTGAATATAAACGCAACATTAAATAACCTTTAATTTTCAGATTGGGCTCCCGATCGCGGATCGTTCGAATCTCGGAGCCGATCAAGTCGGAGTGGGCCCGCAAGCTGCAACTGGATTTGGATGCCCTGCTCAGCGATGGACCCTACAAGGAGAAGTATCGCCGCGACATGATAGTGTGGAGTGACGAGGTGCGGGCCCAGGACTATGGCTACTTTTGTCGCGTGGCGATGGAGGAGGCCTTGAGCCGCCAGCAGACGCCCTACATCCTGGTCAGCGATGTGCGGCGCAAGAACGACATCAAGTGGTTCCGGGAAACATACGGAACGGAGAGGGTCATTACCCTGCGATTAACCTCTCGTCCGGAGACGCGATGCGCACGAGGTTGGACCTTCACCGCTGGCATCGACGATGTGCCATCGGAGTGCGATCTGGATGACCTGACCGATGGCTTCGACTGCGTGCTGGCCAACGACGAGGTGCTGGACCAGGAGGCCATCGATCACCTGCTCGACAAACTGCAGCTACAATATCACTAAGGCCTCAAACTTATTACTCAAATCGAGGTTTTTGCTTTTGCACACATGTATTTTTGATAAAACATGTATTCCGGGTCACTGTGAAATTGAAACTGATCCTCACAAGAAACTTAGATAATGCAATATTACACTCAACCTAATAGTTTTTATACAAAATACTCTTATGACTAAGTGCAGATTGTGTGGCAGTTTTAATAAAATTAAATTAAACCTTGTGTATGTAGAAATTGTATATAAATCACTGCAATTACAGGATCGGAAGAAGTCCACTTCAAACATTTACAATTTTTTGAATAACCCTTGCAAGGCAACCATTAGTTTTTGTATGAAGTCTCAAAGAAATGCTAATTAAAAAGGTAAAATACTTGAATACGCAAACTAATAAAATGATTTATTAAAAGATGTATAAAGTGAATATGCTGGGATGCAAAATGATTTGGTGGGTGGGTTTTAGGTGGGCAATTGTTAACTACTAAACTAGGTTAGTAAATGGGTCCGTTTAGGACCTCGCCGCCGGAAATCAGCCGCAACTGATCATTGAAACTCTGCACTGGAGCATTCTGTGTCTTCCTTAGATCCTTTTCCACGGAACGCGAACGCAGATGCGGCTTATTCTTGACACAGCTGAGTGGGGTACGCTTCTGAGCGGACAGGGGTGTACTGTTCGACTTGGGGGTGATGGATCCCACTGCCACTGGCGACTGCTCGTCCTCCTCCTCCTCCTGATCGACATAGATCTTTGGCTTGCTGGCCCTGGCGGGTTTGCGCGGCGGAACCCTTCGCTTGTGACCCAAACGCACGCGCTCCAAATGCTTGTTGGCCGGCAAAGCTGTCGATGGCTGATCCTCGCCAGGGGCAAAGGAGGCCAGACTGCTGCCAGTGCTTAGGTTCAGGGTCAGTGTTTCCAGGATGTGCTCCAGCATCTGGGCCTCGCGAGCTTCCTCCTCCTCGTCGTCGCAGAAGATGATGGGTGTGCGATCGACGCCCATGCTGGGCGAACGGGGATCACTGTGGAGCTGCTGTGCAGGCGGAGGAGTCTCCATCTTGACCGCATCCTGCTGCTGTTTCTGCAGCAGCTGATGCTCGCACGGCAGGGTCTCCTCCTCGTCGAAGGGCAGGGAGACGATCTCCAGGGAACTATTGTTGTGGGCACCAGACGGTGGTGTGCCAAAGCTATCGCAGCTCTGCTCCAAATCCACTTGGGGAGGAGTAGCAGGCATTGCTCGTTGGGCGGTGCCAGCCCTGGTGTCCACGAAGAGATCGGCAAAGGTGTCGTCCAGGTTGAGGGAGCGCACCTCGTCCAGAACCAAAGGAGTGCGATTTAGTTGTGGAGAACGGGGATCATTGAGCGAAAAGCCTTTGAGCAATCGTTTTCGTAGCATTGCAAAGGCATTCTCGCTGGTGGCCACCTGCTCCTCCGCCTCCTCAGGACGCGGTTTTTGCTGTCCTGACTGTAAAAACTACACCCCACTTATTAAAAACCCCAATACATAAAGAAATCACAAAACAACTCACATTTAAAGGCGTTCGACAGCCATTTGGAGATCGAGGATCTAGCAAAGCGTTGTTTTGCTCTCGTGTCGGCGTCGTCATTTCCACATTTTCCTGTTTTTCGCTGGCCAGGCGCATTTTGTTAAGTGTCGGCGTATCCGGCAGATATTCGCCCTCCATTTTCGTAGCTTTTGCTCCCATTTTTGTTTGTCTATCTGCCTCTTTTCACGACTTTTCACTCAATGTTTCGGTGTGAAATAAAATTCGTTGCCGCGCATTTGTTTTGAAATGGCGTCGTGTGGAGTTGCCAGACCTGAAAAATGGAAGGCTGGAATGGCAGCAGTGTTGCTAGTGCTAGCTACTTTAAAGCCTAAATTGGCTATGTTGAAAAATTCGTTACCAGTTTAAAACTAATTGTAATATAAAAATAGTAAACAAAAGAAATAATTAAGTGCAAGTTTTTAATTGGAGGCTTAGACTTGTAGAATTATGTTTATGAAATAAGTTGATAAATTTATAAGTATTTGTGTTTATTAATATGCCCTTCATGTTTTATTTATGTTTTACGACATTTATATTATTTATATATTCTTCAGAGTTATAATCAGAATGTAGCAACTTTAGAGAATATTACCAAATAAATCTTAACAAAAACAATAATAAATAAAATTACTAATAACGAATTTGAAAATAAAATGCCCAAATGACCAAATAAATCATGCTCGATAGTTTTTCAAATATTCGATATTCGCTAAAGATCAATGTAACCGATGTTTTGAAACCATCGATGACATAGATGTTGCCATCGATGTTTCTCCAATCTAATCGACGTTTGTCCGCCTCTACGCGACAGAGCGAATTGTACTTTCTCAGTTTTTAAAAAAAGAAAGAAAATGGCATGAAAACCGGCCAAAAAAGTGCATCAAACGAAGCTAAACCCAAAGTAAGTGAACTGCCTAAAGGAAAACTGCGTACAATCTTTAAAACGAAGCTTTAATTGCCAATATATATACGTGTGTGTGTCAGATAAAATTAGTGACTGTGTACTTGGAGTGAATAAAAATTGGGAAATGAAGACAGGAAACCCTTTTTTTTATTCCAGGAAACTATTTTTATTGAATTTACGCAGTAGCTGTACTGAGTTTGTATGTGTGGGCGACGCAAGCAGCAATAAATTCTCCTGTGTGTATATGTGTATTTTTTTCTATGTCCGTCTCCTTTTTACACACTAGCGCGCAATACAGTTACGCTTTGCCTGTTTTTTTTTTGCCGACATTTTTTTATTAATTTGTATACATAATTGACTATTGAACGTCTTTTGCTTGGGTCACCAGACCCATTAATGTAGGTTAGTACGCTAAAATGCTCTATAAAAGTGCGCTATTGTTTTATTTGCCAATTGTAGCGCAAAAAAGTAAACAAATTGTATACACACAAACGTCAGAGCGCATGTCGTGCAGACTTTCTCTCTTGCTCTAAATTGCAAATGTGTTTGTGTGTGTGTGAGTACACGCTGAAAACAGCCGAATTTCATTCATTGCTCATTTCCGAGAAAAAACTACACACGCTATATTCGTCGCCATCTGCATTTGCGCCTCTGTGTGCGTGTGTATGTACGTAGGACTCGTTGCAATTGTGCAACATGTTAATAGTTTCCAGGGACAGCTGGGCGTGGCAGGTGCAAAAGACTCTCCTCTCCTCCTCCTTTTAATTTCTATTTACAGAAACTTCTTTCCAGCCGCATTCCAGCGTTCAACATTCTTGCTCCTCGTCGTTTGATTGCCGTCATTGGCCGCGTTTTTCACACATTCCACGAGCGGTCTTAACACACACAGATGCACTTGTCTATAGCTTTCGCACACTATTTATTTCAATCAACTTTGTAAGCGCTCGCCCGTTCTCTTTCGCTCTTTTCCCTCTCTTTTCTGCTCAGTTGTCAATTAAGCACGGCGTCCAATTCACAGACAGATGGGGCTGCTGCATCCGTGTGGGTAAATTCCATTTCCTGTTTATAATATTGCGGCATACTCCCCTCCATCCTCCTCCACGCTCTACCGTAAGCATGGCGTCTTGTCTGTCTGCCGTACAGCAGAGACTCAAACCTGCCGGCTCTCTTCCTTTCTCCCCTTATTCCGCTCTTCAATCTGCACAATGGATCGATTGATCTTAGAAAACTTTGACGATTTCGAATGGAAGTATAATTTCAACTTCGAAAGTTATGCGATGCCTTATTACAAAAGTACAACATCTTTGAGTTCTATTTACATTTAAGTCCTAATAAAAAATGTATCTATTTTATTAACATAAGTAGCTTCTATATTTTTATTAACAAATTAGTTTTTCAAAGATAACAAAGTATTTACAACTGAGAGACATATTTATAAATTATGATTTTGTTGCTAAACATTTCAGAAACTACTAACAATATAAATGTAATGGCATTAAGAGTCAACCATAGGGTAGTATATTATTATTATTAGAGAATTACTACTTTTTATTGGTTCACTATTTGGAGCGGGCCCTGTAAAACCATTTTATGTATAAATACCCGTTTGTTCACCCTCGCAAAACGGAAATCCGTCTACTTTCGCTCTTATCCGTATCTTCTGCCCACGATCATGTACGAACTCAGTTTAATTGCATTTCACTTTTCGCAACCACTGTGCTTGGGAACGACGCGGAATTGGAACGCAAATGCGACGCGCTCCGCTCTCATTCCACATTTCCAATTTCGAATTCCCGGCCTGATCCGGCTGTCACTGCTCTTGTTGTTGTTGTTGGCAGCAGCGGTGAGTTTGAGTAGTACAGTACGTGCCACTTCCTTTACATTCAGAAAAATAAAAATTGCTCACAAACACATGCACACCCAAAGCATACATAAAGAGACGTTCCAGACAGACAGACAAATATTGAGTGAGAGAGGGGGAGCGGTTTGCTTGGCGTCTGCGCCGTGTGTTGTTGCTTTTATGCTGCCTGTGGTTCATACATACTTATTGTTCTTGTACAGTTGCAAAGACACTCACTCATACATGTATATGTAATGGAGTCAAAACAGTGAAAACGGGTTTGATGTCTCGCTCGATATGGCAACACTGTGGCGAGTGCATATCCCACCACCCCCCCACCTACAAGCACCCGCTTATTAGAAGAGAAATACCGCAGAGCGTTGTTGTTGATTTTACGTAAGAAGGCCGTCGAACTCAGCATAGAAAATAGGGAGACAAAAAGAGAGAGAGGGAGAGAGCAAAAGAGAGAGTACATGCAAATAAAATAAGAATGCGAATGTGTGTGTGTCTAATGATTACCGTTACTATTTGCATGTTGTCTAGTCAGACGTCTCGCGACCCAGACTATTCGACCCACCAACAATTGGCGAAAAATTCCCCATCATGACCTTTTGTCGTCATCATTTTAGCCGGAGATTCGATTTATACATATATTTGAATATAATGTTTATTGATTTTTATTAGTAAGCCCTCAAAATGGTTTTCCAAATGTTCATACAACTACACCACGATGTCTGTCAAAATATTAGCAACTCACAATTTTTAAATAATTTTACATATAAATATTAAAATATTGACACCAGCCGCAAACGTAAACGAGAAACAGTAAGGAAGAACGAATATGTTTAAATCACATAGCATAGGAGTAAACTTGATCCTAATGTTTTTCAATTGTAAAAACGGGAGTATTTGTTTTTGGATTTAATTTACCGGCATATAGAAATGGTATTGTGATTGCAATAATCACTAAAAGGAATCTCGTATGTTAAAACTTAGAGTAAGTTTCACAGAAGATATTTTAGGAGCTAAAAATCGGTTAAAAGGAAGCCCAGTTGTTATTGTTTTAGTAGGGAAACCCTACGTGCGTATGCATTGCTAATTCTTTGACCACAGCTGTACACTTGCCATTCAGTTGCGTGCAGTTCTGCATTTCTGTCGGCTGTGGTTCAATGTCCTAAACCGCACACAACAAGTGCAACAATTGTAACATCAACAAAAGCAACAGAACACCGCAAAAAGGGGCAAGAAAAGAAGGTGGCGGAGAAGCACGACTAAATGGAAATGGGGGAATGCACAGAAGTGCAAAAGCGAAGCGACAAAGATGGCAAACGGAATGAGGGCAGGTCCTAGGGCAATCCATTAACATTTCGCCCATCCCTTTTCCCGTCGTCATATCTGGGTATTGTTCATTGTACAGTTGAACCTGTGACATTCGAGTGCCCCGCCGGTTGGTGAACTAAGCCGATTGATTGGCCAAAACTCTCCTAATTCAACGTGCCCCAATCGCTGACTCTTGGTTTCTTTTTCTTTTTTGGTTTTTTTTTATGCATTCCGACATCCGTGAGCTGTTGTAACCCAGAAAACGTTGTGTCAGGTTGTTGCTGTTGTGTGTCGCTTGTGACGTCAATTGGCTTTGGAATGGTGTCGGCGGCCCACATTACGGACTGACTACCCACCGGAAACGAGTAGTTGTGCTGCTTTCATACATACAGTTGAACTTCCATAACTCGAATCGGCATCTGCACAAAAGAATTCCGAAAATAAATAAGTTTTTTTTAGAGTCCGAATGGTGTGGCTTTAAGATAAGACTACTAAACCTAAGCCTCGGAATCTTTAACTTTTAAGCTATTAAGAAACTATTTATCCTGAAATTGTATCCTTAATTTTAAAAATATAGTCACTTAATGGCCAATTTTCTGAGGTCCGCATTTGTCAGATCCACCATTATAAAAAAGAAGTCTCTTATATATGAACTGCAAACAAAAAGTTCTGCAATTTTAAGTTTTTATAGTAAAAACTAAGACTGTGTGAGGTACTCCAGTTTTGAGAGGGCGTTAAATTGCTCAATATCAAAATCAAAACCGAACGGGTCTGGCAACAACGATGCTGGCCAACTTTAGCGGGGCTTTATTTTTGGCGCGCTTCTCGAGCGACAAGAAAGAAATTTCCCGAGGAATGGAATGTTGTTTACTTGCGCGCCTGCGCATCCTCAACCTTCGGCCAGTTCCATGAAATCTGCAGTTGGCTTGAACTCGTCTGGGTTTCATCCTGTTCGTCCCGTTTGGCCGGCTACCTGCCCCGCCCTTGCGCCCGCGCCACGCCCCCCGCTCTCGGCGGTTTTTATACCACCGCTCTGCGTCGCTTCTTGTTTGTGTGCTTTTAGCTCCGCCAAACTTAAACCGACGGCGTCGGCGGCGTCGTGTCAATAACATGTTGAGCCTACATACATACATATGTACATACATTGTGCGAAATCTTCTGGCAACACCAAAACAAAAACAAAACGAGA